CATGGCAAGGGGGCTTTTTTCTTGCCTACGCCATGCTCCATCTTAATTACCGGCCTGGAGCTGTGTGTTGGAAAGTTGGAAGGTAAGGACAGGTAAAACACGGTTTTTCCGGGTGATACGCATTCGGTGCAATTGCAGGAAGTGGTACAGATTCGTACTACTTATAGAGAGGGATTCGGCGTTAGAGGTAGAATTTTGCAAGCTTTGGTCTTGGGCTAAATCGTCTTTGCTAGCTTGCCCATCCGACTTCCTTGTTGCCGAAAAGGCAAAAGGCAACAAGGAAGTCGGATCATCGAAAAATAGCCTTCCGTAGCCTTCCGAGTACCTTTAGAACGTTTCGACACTAGCTATTCTAAAGCCCAAATAACGCCCAGGCCCTGTTTTCCTCGTTTCCCTCAAAGTCTTTGCTAGCTCGCCTTCGAATCAAACAAAATTCAAAAATGTAAAAAATCTGGATCAGCTGAGCAAGTTTAGTAACTTAGCAACAAACACTAAGTTTAACTTAGTTTACCTAACCCTGAAGTTTATCCAAATTGTTCCTCATTCTCTGCCAGCCTGCCGCCTAGGAGAAATTAGATCCAGGAGAAATTTTCCCAAATAGTCTCTGCAAGCTTAACTGGCACTTAAATTTCACAAGTGGCCTCTGCTAGCCAACCCCAAAAATATCCTAAAAGCTCAATCAGTTTTGTTACGTGCCACTACGCGAATAACAAATTTCTACACTTCCACAAAACCCAGGCATCACCACTGAGTCCGACTACAATCCCCGTCAAATCCCTAAAAGCCTGCTAAATACCGTAGCCACGGCAATTACATAATTTTCCGCTGTGATCCCAGGCGAAAATCCACGTCGATTTGTGTGACGGCCCAAGACTGAATAGATCTGAATCTACTGCCCAACTCGTCCTAAAGGGCACTTCTTTTCAATAGAAACCCGCCTGGGAAACCCAGTTTCTTTTTCCTTTTTTCACGCCCAACCGACCGTATCCCCGGCAGGACCCGTCAGAAACGAGGCAAATCGGATTAAAATTCATGGGTGCACTCTGCATGGGCCGGGCCCGAAATTTGCGTAATCCCCGCCCCACTCCAAAATTCCGTTTTTGTACGGCTTCACCCGGATCGGTGGACTGGGAGGGGGGCCTGAGCAGTGTCGAATCGCAGATGCAAATCGTTGGTGCGCCCCACCGACTTTTGCGAGCGAGATTTTGCGAGCCCGGCTGCTGAATTTTGATAGTTTTGTCGTGGCTCTCTCCTTCAAATGCTTTATTTTTGTTGGGTTTAAAGGGGCATGGAAGGCAAGCAAAACCTTGTCCAATCGTCCCGGTTTCTTGTTCTCTTTAAGTAAAATAAAATCGAAATTCTAAACTATGAAAACTACTATCTTTCTACCAGTAACGTAAGTATAACGAGCTGTTTAAGTATCATGCTCAAATGGGTCCATACGGGCTTCCCAGCCCCTTTAAGGCCGCTTCCTGGGTACCGCGCTGCGACACGTGACGCGCACGTTTCTCTGCAAGCTGCCGAGAAATTCTAATGGGCGCCTGCGTGCCGCGGCGCACCTAGATTCCTGCCGAATCCATGACTAGCAAAATTTATCTAGATTCCTTGATCAGCCCTGCAGTTTCTGTTAAGCTAGTCCCAGGTTTTACTTGCCTTGAAAGGCCTCGGTAAGTCCAAAATTCGACCAATAGTTTTGGCTGGGCGCCGACAGTTGAATACTAGGCCAAAAATTGTAACTCGATTGTGGTTTTGAATCGTTCTGCTCCTGTGCTTTTTTACGTATCTTAAGCTACGTAGCTAATTCTACTCGCACGTAGACTGGCGCAGATCGGAGCTGTCGAGAGCCAGGCGGCTTTGAGGGTCGAACACGCCACATGAGCCCTTTAACCGACCATTTATGAATTAGGTCTAGAAAACTTGTGCGTTTGGTTTCACGCTTAAACCGCATCACAAAAAGACATAATTGATCCTGATCACCTAATTTTCTAGAATTACATAGCGTAATCGATTCATGTTCCTTCAAATCGATCCAAATCCGCCATCACGGAACTACCACCACACCGACATGCGGATATTAAAAGCAAATTTCCATTTTTACGAGGAGTGTGGCAATGGACAGGGCGGAATTGCTCGATTTGTATGTGTGTTCATTTGGCATCGCGGACACAATGGGTCAACATGCCGGAAAGCCGGGGATTGGCCTCGAAACGGAAGCGCGCCGTTGACACTATTGCTACAAGGGGATTCATATAGTGTTCAGTGTACAGAATTGTACTCAATTTTACTTTGAGTAATTAAGGATCGTAATTATTTTGAACTTTTCTGGCCCGCAAAAAAAGATTTTTCGGGTCGTTTTTCCGCAATTTTCCGTTACACTACTGTAGCCTGGAATGTTAATGGTATGGAACCGTAGTGATCGATACCCTTAGAACCTTTAAAATTGAATTCTCACAGTTTAGTGGAGCGAAAAAAAACAAATTTTCGCAAAATTTGAAGATTAAAGTACTATTTCAATTATTTTTGAAGATCCCGAGACTTTCAGCTGCTTTCCGATCAATGATTGGTTTAGTTTCAAAAGTTTCAAACTCATATGAGCATAAATTCCTTTGTTCGCTCATGATTTTGACTGTTAAATAATTTCTTTGCAAAATTCTCCATGAAAACACAATTTTTCTTGTTAATTTTCAGGTTTTCACGATTTTCCGCGTGTTTCCGGCGTCTAGTAGCTTATTTTAAAGGCCTAAAACTCGCAGAAACATAAATCACTCCTCTTATTAATCCCATCAATCAATATTCGTCCAAATTGGTTTCGATCTGCCCAGCTGACCCGCCTGCGCCCCCACGTGCACTTTACCCCCGCGTTTTGCTCCCTCCCACCACCCCAGTTGGTCAGCCGATGCAGCCGGAAAATATTTTTGGCTTCTGCTCACCCGGTCGCTTCCTTTTGCTTGCATACGCGATAATCGACGCCCGTACACGACTTTTTGGCGCCGTGATGGCCGGGAATTTCGGTTGATTAAGTTAGGGTATTGGGGTGAATCGGGCGGATGCGACCGTGATGTCTGATATTCTCTGGCTAGTAGAAACTACATGAATTGTCCATTGACGGGTGACAGGTAATCCTTAATTCAATTTATTCAACTTATTAAAGCGTCTAAGATGCTTGCTTTTTCTGTTTTTTTTTTCGAAAGATGCTACGGTTAGGTTAGAAGATACATGGATTTGAAGCCGGAAAGAGAGATAGAGAGAGAGAGAGAGAGAGGGGGGACGGGGGGGAGAGGCAGAGAGAGCGAGCGAAAAAGAGAAAGTGATAGAATGGGAGAGTGCGAGAGAGGGGTGAAGGTGAGATAGATTTCCATTAACCTCCAGCTTTTAATATCGGGAAGCCCGTCCGACACCATCAATAAAAACACTTTTTGATGTCATCCACAACAATCCGATGCACGGTTATGTTGTGTCTGGAAGCCTAGTTTTTCCATATTTGCTATATTGACCACACCATCGTATTCATAGGACTTTACGTACTATGCGCAAATTTCTCTGTTTGAAAATACGATGTTCCAAGTACGGCGCGTACGCAAAGTAGCCGTACGTTGCTTATGTATCGTAGCTAACACGTACGTACTGACTATTTCGGACGTGGACTAAAGTATTTCTGACTGGTTTTCCTATGAAAAATGCGTTTGCGGCAGCAACTTATGTATCAACGGCATCTACGCGTACCAATGCAACAATATTTTTACCCCGAATGTATTTAAAATTAGCAACTTTTCACAAACCCATTAATTCTCCAGCTACCGTAACCTTTTTCAGCAGGTCCCTTGATTAAACCACCTCGATACCTGCTCTATATGCAAATTATCCCCTTGCAAAGTACCCGTCAACAGGATTGTCACGTAGTTGTCGATTTCGACAAGTGCCCCCCACTTGTCACTTTGGGAGGTGTCGGGTGATCGGGGGGTGAATATTCAAATCTGTTCCCTCGGCCGATACTCGACGTAATCCACCCCAGGCGGATTACAGGCCGAGGGGCACTGTATTCGACATTCGAGTGGAAAGGGGAGGAGACTATCACACTTGCTCATACTTGCCCAAAACTTGTGCCTCCACCTCATGCTCATATTGGTCAGTCGTATGGAACGTTGCTTACCGTAAAAACTTATTAACTGCACATGCAGTTATACCTTGCGCAGAAGAAGCCTGATACCATAGCAAAGTAAAGTTTTCTTAGTTTCTTTAAATCCAGGTATTTCAGGATCAGAATGGCATAGATTTTATCTATATTCTGCTATTTTCAGCCACGTGAAGGTATGCTATTCGGCCTGGAGGTCGGTTTTTACGAGAATTTTATAGACTTAAATTGATATAAATAAAAAACTTCCCACCCCCATCTTCCTGCGGTTCACTGCGTGCCAGAAGTTGCATCTTACAGTCGCTGAGCACGTGTAAATGCACCTCTCTGGTATACAGCGACCGTCGGGCATTCATGAAATGACAATATCGGTCCCTCTTTCTCTCTCTCTTTCTCGCTCTCTCTCTCTGTCTCTCTCGCTCTCTCTCTCTCTCCCTTTCTTTCACTCTACTCTATCTCGGTCACTCTCACGCTCTCGCACTTTTTCTGAGCCTCCATCGACGATAGTTCGCGCTCTCTCACTAGATTTCAGCCTCGATCACTCTCATCACTCGCTCTAACTCTTGCGCACTTTATCACGCCCTTTCGCTCTTGCTCACTAAGTCTCGCTCTCTGTCTCATTATATCTCTCGCTTTCTCGCTGTCTCTCGCTAAACCATGAAGGTGCAGCGACAGCTTATTCACGTAAAAATTCCGACGTTAAGCTGGGAAATTTGTATTTATTAACTGACGTAGCTCTCAATAAAACTCCAATGCTTTAAAGACGAGAACAAAAATTTATTCAAAAAGCAAGCAGCCGAACGGGGGTAATTGGTTATGATGGGTACGGTCACGAACGGGGAATCACAACAGTCTGCACGACCAATTACGCAATGAAAATCATGGCGCCGATTAGGGAGACGGTGGCCAGGTAGATGAACACGATGACGGGGCTGAGCTTGTTGATGACCGAGGTGGGAGCCGGTGCCTCATGCTGAACGATCGGGACCAAGTTGCACAGGCTCGTTGCGCAGCACTGGCCGCGGCCCTGCTTTTCGCGGGCCTGGAAAAGATTAATATGCCGGGTCTGGTCTGGTGAATAGTGTTACATGGTGGCGTACCTAACAGAAAGTGTTTTAATAGTGTTTTCTGCAATAGATAAATATATTGCAACTAGAAAAACTATATAAACTTGAAAAAGTCAAAAATGTGGTCAATTTCGGCCGAAAAACCATATTTTTGTATTTTTTTAATACAAAATTGTGCAGTTGATAAAGTAAAAAGCCTTCTTTTGTATCTCACCGCGCAGTCCTCCTCCGTGTAACACGCGCGCTCCGCCTGTCCCGAAGTCTGAAAAATTGGAATTTTGCATCCATCATCGACGTCTTGGATTTACCAACTTCAAAACTCTGGAAAATTTGCCCACATTGTTCACGAGCACATAGCACCGCGGGTGGTCTAGGCTGCACATGGCCCTCGTTTTCTATAACTGAACATTGAGGAATGGCGGAAGGCAAAAACAAGCTGAGAGAGAGCGCGTGAAAGAGAGAGAGTGAGAGAGCGAGAGCGGGTGAGAGGGAGAAAGAAGATTTTATTTTCCAAAAATCCGGAAATCTTGACCTGCTCGACGTCGCCGGTGTGCGTGTAGCATTCCAGGGAAGCGGCCACGGCGATGAAGGCGAGGACGAGAAGCGAATGGCGCAGCATCACTAAAAAAATAAAAATTGTTCTTTTAACAAGCCGGCAATAGCGAATTTGTGAAGTCATAACGCCTAGTTAGCATACCAGAATTACGATACTCACTGCGAAAATGCCCTAGATTACTTACCGTTCCGTGTCGTTGTCGAGCGGAAATAATGACTTTTATGGTCCGCACTTGTTGACAAATTTTGCGAGTTTCCGCTTGTGATATTCAAATTTTTCCACAGTTGAAGTAATGTCTCTGAAACTTAAAAAATCTCTAACCTACTGTATACCAGACTTGAATTTGGCATTTTCTGGTTCAGCTTTCTGGTTTTTCCGGTTTCTAATTTCTATTTTTCGTCTAGAATATACAATTTCAAATATTTATTCAAGTCACAAGGCACATCCATGAGATCAGAAGAAGAAGCGTGGCACGACGGGTTGAAGGGGGAGCAGTGGTGGTTGTTGGGGTGGAGGGACGACTGGCTGGGGTACGGTAGCCGGGACAGCGTTTAGATTCAAGGGGCCGAGGTTGAGCTGGCGGAGTTGTTGGTTGATTTCCTCTTCGAGAAGCGCGTTTTGTTGTACTTGACGCTCCAGGACCTGAAATAGATTTTTGTCAGTTTGTAAAAGGTGTTCAGGCGGGGTTTTCTAATTTAGTTACAAAATTTAACTCACCTGTTGCAACAAATTCGGCCTCTCCACCCTCAGCTTCAAATATGGGTCCAAAATTGGCTGAACAGGTTGCTGATTTATTGCCATCAGCTGACGTACGATTTCTTGGTTGTCTAAAAAACATATCTACCCAAATTCCGATGTTTTCTTACTCGCTTCATGGTCCTTCAGGAATATCTGCGGGTTGAGCTTTCGAAGCACCTCTTCAGGATTTGGTGGCGGGCCTAGGAAAGTGATTTTAAGCTGATTAAAAACGATAAAAAATCAGAAAAGGGCCTTCAAAACGAGCCTGCAATAAGTGGTGGTAGATCAAATCTTCCGTCCTCGATCAGCGGGCTGTTTTGGAATATTCGAGTGTCAGCAGAGGTATCTCTTCCTAAAAGTTGGTATTAGCAAAATCCAACGTTTTACTCAGGATTTTTACATCATTTTTGTCTTTAGAAAAATAGCTTTATTCAATTTACATATTTGATAGCTCATTCAGGTAGTGGGTATTGTGTAATACCGGGATGCGAAGTTGCTTACCTATAGGATAAAACGGCTGAACATTGGTACTCGTGTCTGGTGGTAAAGGTATCGGCGCTGGCCCGGGTGGAGCGACAGCCAAGGGCTTGACTCTGGGATGAGCTTCGACATTTGGTGGCGGATCTTGCAGGTGGCGTACGATGGCGTCGATCTGGCCCTTCGCCGCGGTTTCGGGATGAACCTTAAAAAGTCACTCACCTTGATTGAGCATCATCAACTATAATATTTTTCCTGACGCGTCCGTCCGTCTGTCTGTCTGTCTGAAGCCGAATTCGACTCGAAGGGGAAAGGAGCAGAGCAGCTCTCTTCGGATTCGGAAGAGCGGGTCAGAAACCCCCAAACTGATAAAAAAAATGAAAAACTTAGTTTAAATTATTAAAATTAACTTTGGAAGTGGTGCCTTAATAAAAGGAGTGGGGGCCCCTTTCCCGGGAGGCCACGCCCCCATTCCCTTCGCCCCTCTTCCCCAGGCCCCTTCCCGCGCCCAAATAGCTTAAGTTACTTTAATACTTTAATACTTTTAATACTTTAATATGTTAATTAATTATTTAAATGACAAAGCCACGGGAAGGATTAGGTAGTTTTGAAGGGATTCAGCCATGGGGGGTATCTGAAGCCATCGGAAGGTATTTAGGTAGTTTTTGAAGGGGATTTCGTCTAGGGGAGGTATCTGTAGCCATTAGCGGGGGTATTTTTGGAAAGGTAGGGATGGATGTGATGGTGTATGGCATGAAGGGAAGCCCGAAGGCCAGATGGTTACAGTCGCGAAGCGACTGGAACCATCTGGTATAGGAACCTTTTGACAGAATTAGATTTCAAGCCACCTAGCATGGCAAGAGACTTTTTCGGATGAGCAATAATTTAATTCTCTGCAATAAGACCTTTTCGGATTTAAAGCGCTCGCGATACGCAACGCACATGCTATGTTCCACACGTAAAAAGCTGATCGATTACGCAGAGCAAAAGTTATGTTGCGGCGAAATTTTCAAGGGAACTATCAAAAAATATACACCTCGCCAGGCCCTTTTCGTGCTGCTGCTGGCAGATTCTCGGTTGGGTATTAGTATCATCGCATACGAAAAATTTTATACCCGTCCAACTTACCGGCACCGAGTTCGACTCGTTGTTGATGACCTCGACTTGGACCTGTCTCTTCGCCCTCGTCGGCACGTTCGGCTTCCAGGGCAGGTCTCTCGGAATTGCGATCCGGGGATCTCTTAAAAGAAAATCAGTCAAAAATCTGATGCAATTCTGATTTCAGGCTCGTGCTCAAACCTGTGTTTCTGATAGTCAAACAACGAATTGAACGGGTCGATTTGGTTAATGTTGTGGCCGTAAGTGATGGTGAGATTGTCGCGGTCTGAAAATGTGCAAGAGAATTTGCGATCTTCGAGTAGCGCCTACCGTAATAGATCTTTCCGGAGAAGGGGAAGCGGTAGGCAACACCCTTGCTGAGCGGGATCGGAACGTCAATATCTCCCTCAACTCCATCGCTACCACCCCAGTCGTGCTCGATCTGTAATTAGAAGCGTTTTGTACCTGCGCTTTCGTAAGTCTTTGCCAATGAAATTTTTCAGGCGTAATTTCCACTTATAGCCCCCGTTTTAAAACATATCCAAACCCACTACCAAACCAAAACGTAATCCAAAACACAGCAAACAGCCCCTACGCAACTTTGTGGCGAGAAATTTGCTACATTTTCCGTTTCAAAACCTCCAGTAACCAAAAATCGCTTTCTCATTTTAAAACCTACGCCCAATCCGTACGTCATCGTGTACGGGTTGCACAACGGCGGCTTGCAGTTCAGTGGCTCGTGCGTTCGGGCAAGTTTTCCGAGTGGAAGCGTTGGTTGGTTTGCTAAAACTCGCTTTAAAGCTGAGACTTATATAACGTAATAAAGGCTTCGAAAATTGCCTAAAAAATTTTTTGTATCTCTGTACTTTTTACCAATTTTTTTTTGAGCGTCTCCACAAAATCAGCATAGACATTTATGCAACCGGTATTTCTCAATTATACACGTAACATCGGCAAGTGAGATATGCATAAAGAGAGAGAGAGAACGAGATTGAGTTATTAACACATATCCTTGACTATCCCTGCTCGTTTCCAGGGATCGGAACGCCGGGGAGAAGATGCTGAAAAAAACGGTGTATACCATCTAACTTTCATCGCTAAAAAAATACAGTAATATTTAGTAGTACTTTGCGGCTGATCTTATCAAATTTTTCACGACGTTAGGATTACATACCTGAATCAGCAAGTCGAGCTTCGCCTCCAGCCTCAAAGTATGATTCTCCAAGTCCTGTATCCGATCCACAATGCTTCTCATGTCCCCATCCCGCGGCACAAATCTTGGCACCGGCTTGCTCGCTTGAGAGGGCGTTGTGTGGACCGGAGCGGAAATTGTTGAAGTGACCGTCACGGTGGCGGGCGGAATTTCGGTGTTTTGGGCAAGGAACTGCTCGAGGGAGGCGCTGGGGGCCACCGGGGGTTCGTCGTCTTCTAGAATAATGAGATCGTCTTTTTCGGGGAGTTCATTCTTGATGTCGAGCAATCCGTAGAGACGGCTGTTATGGTTGCTGCCGCACGGCGGATCGAATTCGTCAGGACCCGCGGTGTCTTCCTGAAAAATTGGACATCAAAGTGCCGAAAAATCGAGGAGGGTCTACAACAGCAAAACGGTATTGGGCTGTTAGCGGGGGATGGGATTTTAGAAATCCGAAATTCTAAATCTAAGAGTCGAAAATTTGTATTTTTTAACAAAGGTTAAGTTCTTGCTTTGAAGAATAGTAAAAAAAAACAGTATAACATCGCTTCTGATCGTTATAGCAAAAAAATATAGCAAATATAGCATATATAGCAACATAGCAAATATAGCACAGCACATATAGCAAAGTTATAGCAAAAAAATTGGCTCCTAGGAAAAAGAGTGGGCATGCCCGATAATGTAACAGCACCGATTTTTATTACTAGAAACGTTTTGATTGTTACGATTTCTATGCGCAATTTTTTTTATGAAAATTCCATGATTTAAAAGGCGTAAAAAGCAACCTAAGGGGGGCGATTTGATTATTTGGACCCTACTGTTATCCCCACGAAACCCGTCCCCCGCTAACAGACAAGTACCAAATAGAAGAGAAATAGACGAGAACGTAATTGTCCGCATAAAAGCGTTGAATGCTTTTTGTACTCACCGCGGGCTGCCCGACACTCAGGAACGAGTCCATGCCAAATTCCGTAAATTCACCGTAGCGACGGCAAGCCTCTTGGATGACACGTTCAATTGGGGAGAAGCTAAATCAACAGTTTTTCTAAGCTAAAACGCTCCTACACGGTGACTCCGGCGCTAACTTTTGAGCGCAACTTCCTCCGCTTGTTGCTCATATGCCAGCGAATTTTGTCGTCGTCAATAAGGGCCCGATCGCGTCGGATCAGCTCTTCGTTGATGCGGTTCCGGATGCGGTCTTTTGATTCTTGAAGCCTAAACGTTTTCTTAATAAGTATACAAAATAAAAATTATATTTGCCAGGTTGTAGTGGACTTGACTTAAGTTTATTAATACGTGTCCTTTCCATGACGTATTCGAATGTCTCAACTTACTTTTGGCAAATATGAAATCATTGTTTTTCAGCCTCTAGCTAATTTTTCCGTTACTTTTCGTAATTACGTGTCGTTTTCATGACGTAATCGATTGTCTCAACTTACTTTTGGCGAGTCCCAACATCTTTCGATTGAGCCAGAAGCTGCTGATGCTCGTCTGAGTACCACAATTCGTGCAAGATCAACGAGACGTCATTTGGAATGCGGACTACGATAATTGGTTTGCTGCCAAAGCTAAGAAACCTTACCTTTTGCGCTCGACGGCGTCGACTCGTCCCCGTCGGCTGCACGCTTCCGGCGCGGGGCTGAGCCGATCATTTTTGGGTTTTAGCGCCATAAAATAAGAATAATAAATTTATAACCACAATTATACTTATAGAAAAAGAAGAAAATTATGGAAAACGCGCATAAAATTGAAATAAGTTTGTGAGACATGAAAAACAACAATGTACAGCCGCTTGTAGCAATATTACCGTTTACGAAATCGTAATTTGGGTTTCAACGTAGCTATTAACTCTTGAAAATAGCATTTTAGAGCTTTTTGCAAGGATACACCACATGTACATAATTTACACCACTTGCACATCTGTTTACAAAAATGCGAAAAACCAAAGAAAAACGATCAATATAGACGCGAAGAAATACTCTCGCCCTGGCAATGCCGTTTGTTTACACGGGCGGCCCCGGAATCGATTACTCGGGCGCGTAAGTGCACTTTGGCGCCAGTGTCACCCCAAGGGGGTACGGTGGGCCGGGTGTGTTATGAGTAGGGACGGCAAACACTGGCTTGTTTATGGGTGATACCGGGGTGGGGTTGACCCCTCGAAGAGCGTTTTGTGAGTCATGCCTTTTTTTTGATCGCCCGAGCGGGGTAACGCTAATTTCTGGGTACAGACCTATAGGCTTCGTTTTCTCGTTTTTTTTTTTGACGATTTCCTCGGTCATTTATCAATTTTTTTTTTGCTTTAAGGAAACCGAAGAGGCTCTCTAGCCTGGGCAAGTCTGGGTGTTTCCCGAGCTTTGACTTTGGATTAAAGGGACTAGCAAGCGTCCTAATCGACGCCTGCTATCGACTAGGTGACGACAGCTACACGACACACCTAATGATACCAACGGCACATTACAGGTTGTAGCGTTTGAGGCGTAATTTGACCCGACTGTAGCAATGGCGCTATCCGCTTTCGAACTCCCTGAATCGGGCGAATCCCACGTATTCTTCACAACCAGCCGCTTACAGCGGCTTTGCCGCTGCAAGCGGCTGGATTTCGGGCTACCCCTTCCGCTCCCTCCCCCTCCCTTTGTGATGGCTTTCGATACTTTAAAGGGTTTAAATAATGAATTAAAATGATTTAAAAGTATTAAAACAACTGAAAAAAGCGAGCTAGGCGCGGGTAAGGGCTTGGGGAAGGGGCGGGGGAAAGGGGGCGTGGCCTCCCGGGGAGAGGGCCCCCCACTCGTTTTATTAAGGCGCCACTTTCAAAGTTAATTATTTTTATTTAAACAAAAACTTTTTCATAATTTTTTGATCATTTAAGGGGTTTCTGACTACGCTCTATCCAAATCCGAAGAGACCTAAGCTCTACCTCCTTTCCCCTTCGAGTTATAGTTGGCTTCTGACAGACAGACAGACAGACACCACTACTGAATTCTTATAGTTGATTTTGGCCTCTGATGTCAGGTTTTAAAGCACCAAACATTGGTTTTAATTTCGTGCTTAGGAATGGTCGTACTTTTCCTGTCTTTACGTCTCTGTACTTTTTCGTTTTTTTTGGCAAATAAAGGGAAAGTCCATGCTCGATTTTTCTAAACCTACCTCGATTCCAGTGTGAGCTCGGGTTGCTCATCAGCTCCACAAAATCCTCCTTTTCCAAATCCATCATATTGACCGGATGGTTGAGGTATCCAAACTTAATTCAAATATTGCAATGCTGTTCTCACTACGATACCTTGGTGGTCGTATCGTGGATACGGTTGAAGAAACGACCGTAAATGTCGAGGATTCCCCAGGAGGGGATGGCCAGGTTCAGGTCACCTCCGATGTGCTAAAAGTTGTTAGCTTGTCTTGTCACCCAAAAAAATTTAAGACGTTGCCGTAACGATTTAAAGACCGTCAGAACGATGAAATATCGTTTAGAGCAAGAAAGTTGCGCACCGGGCGGGGGTCGAACCCTCGATGGTTCGCTCCACAGTCCGACGCGCTAGCCACTATACCACAGGGCGAAGTGGGGAAGGGAGTCAGAGGCGCCCCAAACCCCAGAGGGTCTTTGCCCAATACGGGAAACCACTAATGACGACCTTCTCTGCGCGTTCTTGGGGGTAGCACCCTCGGGGTGACAGTGCGCGTTCCATCGTTCTGGTAGTCTTTAAGAGTATACCTACCCGAGAAATCGATGGATCCAGATCCAAACCCCCGGAATATTGATTTTGAAACGGAAAAACAGGCCAGTAATCGCTGGGATGTGAACGGCCAGGGAGCGGCTCCTGAGGACCTGAAAAATTAAATTTGCGACATCAGTGACCAAAAAATCGAGTTGTCACCCTCCCTTTAAAAAGAAGTTTTATGCACCTGCTCGAATGCTTCTTAAAGAATCTTTGCTATTTTCCAATTTCTCAAATCTAGCTCCTCGAATCTCTGCTAGCATTCCCTTGTCTTCAATTCCTCAAAGAATCTCTGCTAGCTGCCCACCGGGAATCATATAGGGCTGCGGAGCCAATTGGCGTTTTGCCAACTTGCTGTCAGCATCCTGCTTCATTCGCTTGTAGAGAAATTTGTAAATGTCGCCGGGTTCCTGAAGAATAAAGCATAATACGGAATTGATAGACTGTAGCGCATAAAAAAATCTAATTTTAGCTCACCTCGTCTTCTTCTGCCTCCTCGCTCACGTCGTCGTCATTTCTTAATGCTCCGAGCTTGACTGCCAAAAATACGACGAGTAACCATAGGACTCGGATTAGCATATGCTGAAAATTAAAATTTAGATGGTGGAGAGAGAGAGAGAGCGAACAAGTGAGAGAGAGCGCAAGAGAGAGAGAGAGCGCGAACGAGTGAGAGCGAGAGAGATAGAGAGAGAGAGATAGAGAGAGAGAGAGAGCCACGAGTGAGAGCGAGAGAGAGAGAACGAGTGAGGGCGAGAGAGAGCCAAACTAAACATGCAGAATCGGACAATAAAAAGGAATAAGAACTGTGAAACGGTTTCGTAAATGACCCTGAGCATACATTAACATGCGGTTTCCGTACGAGTCTGACTTGTTTACCGTTTCTAGCCATGTTAGCGTGCATCGCGTTCAAGTTTTGGTGAGCAGCATCATTTTTAAAGGTCCGGAGTAGATGGACTTGTTTATCGGCGGATCCGGTTCTTGGTCAAAATTGCCTCTTATTGTTTGGTAAAAGAAATTGACGGTTGAATGTATTAAAAATACCAAAAAAAGAAGAGTTGGGTGGATGAACAAATATATGGTATTAAATCGATAAACCCGGATCTACATTTCGAAAAAAAAATGATCAGCCGTGGCAAAACGCTCGAGGTCGATAAGCTGGCCGCCGCGGGCGTTTGCTGTGGCGGGATCCGGAATGATGTGTGTGTGGGAGTTGTTTGGAGGGATGGATAGATAGAGAGACGGACAAAACCTGCCCCATACCAAGCCATCAGTATCGTCTCGTACCCCGAGGGGTGGACAGGTTCTCTCCTAGATCCCGAATCTGCCACAGGCTGAGGGCAACTGAGAGGAGATGGGATGGCACTCTTGAGAGAGGATGGCTGATTTTCGAGCGTTTTGATGCGCTGTGACGGCATCAGTGTCCTTTTTTAGGCGTTGGAAAAAATTTTTAGAGAAATAGCAATTTTCACGACCTTTAGGAAGAATTCTGGCCATAATACCGACAATCAAGATCCCGATAGCTTCCGATATCTTAAGTCGACAGCACGAAATTCCGACTGCCAAAATATAGACAGCAGACAACCCCCGACGACGAGAACCTCCGCCGCTAGGATACCTACAACTCCGGAAGACAAAACATAATGCCGACAGTTCCTGTCATTTGGAATCCGATAGGATCCCGACAACCAAACTCTTCCCTCAAAAAACCCGACAGTTCCCGACCGTAGACATCCGACCTGACATAATCCCGACAACCGAAATTCTGACATCGAAATCCCGACAGTATTGGACGCCTCAAACCGGGCAGCACCCGAACCTCGACAGGGTACAGTTGCAACGTTGTCCGCAGCCAGAAACTCAACAGCTTCCCTATCATAACCCTTTCCTTACCCTGTCCCTTTACTGATACTTCCAGCTTCTTTTCCGGTGAGCAAACACCCAGCTTATTTTTGTCGCGCGCCGGAAGCTTCGGACACCATAATTAACCCAGAAAACCTGCAAAAAATTAAGAAATGGCAACCACGAGGCCGCACAAAATAACAGGTGTTTGTGACCGCGGGAAGTATGAAGTCATTTGCAAGCAAGTCTGGAAGTTTTGCCATGCCAACACCTGAAAAGTAACTTAAACTAATCTCTACATAGCTGTAATCTTCTTAGTTGTATTTGTGAGCTTTTGAGGCTTATTTTAGTGTTTATTTAGGCTTTAATTGTGCCATGAAGTGCCAGTTCGACCCCTGCCATGGACTGGGTCTAGACACGTTCCGCGAAGCTCCAAAAACACCTGTAACGGTGGCTGAATTATCGTCATTTCCTGACTTTGCTAAGGGATTTTATCTTTAGTTTTAGCGTTTAGCTTCAGATTATGTGCGTAATTGTCCAGCCCTAATCGAGATAAGGGGTGGAATCTCACGTTTTCCAGTCCCTTTAAATTAATACCGTAAGGGATTTTTTACACAAGGGGCTTCCTTATCCTTTGGCAACCTTTTTCCATTTTTCCCTTTTTGAAAAAACTTTTCTATATACCCCAGAATCCTCGGGTCAATCCTTCCCCGGCGCCCTATCCATAAATACCAAGCCCAAAAAATGACCACCCGGCCATTACATTAATCCTCGGTTCCTCTCTGGCCCAAGCAATTACGCTAACGTGTAGCTCCAAGGCAAAAATACCTATTTCTCGTGCCTTTTCCTTTCTTCCTGCAAACCTCACGATTCCGAGCCCGTCCGTGCGTTCCCAGCTTATCCCCAAATGGATGCGCCCATTGTTTTACGCGTATGGCCAAACTGCACGGAACGTTTCCTGTTTACGGCCGAAAGCCGTGGGCGTCTGCAAATTTTGGGTCGGGCTTTGGAAGTGGAATGGAAATGGACCTCGGGCAGGATCCCCGGGATCTGTATCTCCTGCCCAAAATGAGTCCAAATCCGCTCGTTGATGCCCTGGCTTGCCCCATCGGAAAAAAAGCCAATTTTCCGGGGCGCCCTTTGGTGGATGCCAAGGGTTTTTCGAGAAAATGGGTTCAATGCTTCTGGTTTCGAGTTTTACAGGGTGTGCAAAAAAAAAAAGGACACAGTTTGGGTCGAAATAACTCGCGAACGGTAGAGAATCGAAGGTACGTTACCATGCCAGAATGCTTAAATATGCTGGGCATGAAGATTTAACACAACTTGATTTTTTCGATTTTTGAGTACGAAACTGTACTATTGACGCTGGTTACGACCGAAAATTGTGCGTTCTTGAACGGGAGGTGGGAAAATTCTGATTTTTGGCCTAAAAATAGTATAAATTCGTAAAAAGGTAATGGCAAATTCTTAGAATTCATCGAGGTCAATTTCATTTTTTAAAAGCAAAACAATTTTCGCGCTTTTGCGTTATTTTTGTTCTTTGAGTTATAACTCGCTTATAACTCGCTGCCTATGGCTGATATTTTGTCAATGACCTATCCAAATATTAATCTCGGATTCCACACCAAATACCACCACAATCTATGGTATTTTTGTATTGCTTGCTAAAACGTGCCCCAGTGGGGTACTGTAGGTTTCGTTTTTCCCGCTTTTCTCGGGGCCCCTAGCTTCGATCCGGCTGAAATTTTCTGGGTTGTTAGGCAATAAGTAGGGGGCACCTTACTGCCAAATACGAGAGCGTCCTATCCACAAACTTTCATGAAAAAGGCTAAAAACGGATTTTTTAATTCTGCGGCAGAATTTTGTAAATTTTTTGGTCAATTGGTCCAAAAACTGCTACTATTGCTTTTACGAAAAGATCGAAGCGATTCCATGGCAAAAACACCACGCAAATCGCAAATTTCGGTTTTCTACAGTAACCCACGTGGAGCGCGTTTTAGCATGCCATCGCAAAATTCCATAAAGTGACGATTTTTCTATTCGAGGGCCTTCAAGAGTTGATTGTAAGATAACCTGTTAAAAATTACTGATTTTGGGTGGTAAATAACAAAGTTACGAGGCCAAGTGCAAAACAAGGCCAGAGAGCCGATTTTTGGTCCGAGTAGCCGGGGTCAATTTTCGAATTTTTAAAAATAAAAAAACGAGCTCGGACTTATGGATACGATTATAGCTTTGGTGTTATTATCTACGCCCGTAAAATTTGGGGGCAATCTGATTCATGATCATGGTGACTTTCAGCTCAAAATCGAAGATCACCCTATTCCAAAATCGAAGTTTAGAAATCTTCTTAAAATTTTTGCGACGTGAAATTGCTTTAATCTTTGCATCGTTTTATTTAACTGATGGCACTGACTTATTGCTCAAAATATCCCTACGACTCCACCTTCCAAAATTTTTTTACGCAATCTCGAATTCGGTTTATTTCGGGTTTTGATGAATTTTCTTGGCGCCAACGGCTGGTTAGAAAAATTCATGAGTGAGGGTTTAGGATGCGCTATTCAAATTATATCAGATAAAAATAAAACGAAAATTTTCACAGCGCGACTAAATTTTATAGAATGGTGACAATATTCGGAAAAAAGCACGAACGAACCGTTTTGGAGGCCCTAAAAGACGCCCTTCCAGAGGAGTACGGTGGCTCGCAATTTCGTAGATGATAGATCAACCCCAGAACTACATAGCAAAGCAATGAAAACAACTCCGTCCCCTTTGGCAATCTAGAAATATTTTTCCAAAGTTGGGTTTCGAGACCTGGAAAAATCCATGACCAGGGGGTCGTTGAAAAACTCGAAAATTCATCGATCTCAAAAAATTCTTTAATATGTTCATGCGATTGTGTCAAGCCTGTAGGTATTCCACAACAACTGATTTTGAGGTTTTCGCCATAGTTTTTTTCAATATTAAAAATTTACGAAATTCCTCCATACAAAATTTCATTCCTCTCTAACTTTTCAACCAGACCCTCAAAAATTCTTAAATTTTGTAGGTACATATCTGCTGCCTACATTAACTTACTTAATAAAAATTAGATGCCAGCCACCACAGGAAACTGAGAAAAATGCAACTGAAGTTTCCCCGAACGCACAGTTTTCGGGTGTCATTTGTATGGGTACGTAGCCAAAAATCGAAAAAATCAAGTTGGGTTAAATCTTCATGCCCAGCATATTTAAGCATTCTGGCATGGTAACGCACCTTCGATTCTCTACCGTTCGCGAGTTATTTCGACCCAAACTGTGTCCTTTTTTTTTTGCACACCCTGTATGCTTCCGGTGATGCTTGGTTAATTTTTTTAGCTTATTATTTTGTTATCGTCTTTGGAAATTGCTACACATTGCAATCTTTATTGAATTTGCTTCTTCTTTATTTTTGAGGGTCTTTTCGCAATGGTCCCTCAATATTTCTTACTCTCTACAACTCTATCCACATTCTATCCATTTTATCTCTCGTATCTCTGTCTCCATCGCTCCCTCTTTCTCGTTCTCTCTTTATCTCTCATCTATCTCTCCCTCTCGCCAACCAAGTCTCTTTTTTTACTACCTCCCTCACTCACCCTAACACACTCTCTAACATCCTCTCTCGTACGTATAACTCTCTCTCACTCTCTCTCCCTCTCCCTCTCTAGCTCTCTCTCTCTCGCTTACTCGCTCGCTCTCTCGCTCTCTCGCTATCTCGCCCGCTCTCTCGCTGCCTACCTCCTATCCTTAGTTGAGGTGGGCACCCAGACAAGGTCAGGTGCAGATTCTGCCACTTCCAAGCATCTTTAAACCAATTGCAAGTAGCCATATTCTAAGAAAACACTCTCTATCATGCATACATGCATTGGGGCATCTTTTAGCTGACCAAATTTGATTACTGCTCTGCTAGATGAAGATGAGAGTAAGAGGGCTCGCCTAAACAAGATGAATATCAACCCTAGCCCCCAGCTCTTCCAAAGACGCGGAGGTCGGAAGTGTTCTCCCATGTTTTCCCGCAAACAACACCCTTGTCGGTGCATTGAGCATTGGGGTGTCACTCCCGCCGAATCATAATTAATCCCTGGAACCTCTTTTTTTTGGTTACAAAGGAGACATCGTCTTGGGCTAGGCTCGAAATTTTGGCAACAACAAGCTCGTGAGGTCCTAAAAAGTCATCTACCATTTTTTTGGGTCCTTTTAGGGTACGGTTTTTGTTTTACTGATTTCATAAGCGATTAAAAATTGGTTACGATTTTAATAAAATTTATTAGCCTAGCATAATAATGCTAGTTCTAAGCGTTACATATTATGTATATGCTTTTAATGTCCTTTCATTAATTTCTGGAGTCTTTCTTTTCTAACATTTAATGCACAAGTTCATTTTTGTTCGATGTGCCTGCCTATCTATTTTTCTCTCACTCTCGCTCTCCCTTTTTCTCACTCTCTCACTCTTTCTCTCTCTCTCTCTCTATCTCTCTCTCCTCTATGCGTCTTTGTTTTTACAAATTCCACCCAATCCACTAATTTCCAGAAGACCGCGTTTGGTCTATAGCCAGCCCCCCCGGCCGTTCCTTTCCTCATTGGGACGGGGGTCCTTTTTATCTCCAAATTAACACCCTCTTCGGCCCATAGGGACCCAGGGCCCAGGGGGAACCCCGCCGAAGAATCGCTGGGCCCATCGAGCGGGATGTGGCCAGACCACAACCAAAAAAAAACGCCGCCAAAAAACTTTTGACGGTTCCGGGGATCCCCCGTAGTGGGACCCCACAGGCCCGGGCGACAAATTTTGATGGATCGTCATTTTGTGGGTGGTCGGAGGGGCGCTAAACACATCTGGGCTATTTGGGGGATGGATTTGCTGGATTCCATGAAACATCTATTTACAATTTATTTTCATTATTTTTTGTTTTTTCTACTCTGGAAAATTTTTGGGGGCTATATCTATACCTTAAGCACTCATTGATGCTAACTAAGTAAGCCTAAGCCAAACCCTAAGCCTAAGGTGAGCCTGTCGAAGCCTAAGCCTAAACCTAAGCGAAGCCGAAGCGAAACCTAAGCGATGCCTAAGCAAGCGTATAAAAGCATAGCCCAAGTTTGAGCCAAAGCGTAGGCCTAATCTAAGTCTCTGCCTATGTTTATGCCTAAGCCTAAGCCTGACAAGGGAAGTGCACGACCGGCCCACGAGAAATCGACACGAGACATAGTGGATCGGATAGAATCG